AACCAAATAACAAGAATGGAATTTGGAAAAGAGATGCAATTATTCTAGACACCAGTCACTCTGCTCTGAACAGTCGCTGGGAGCCCGCTGGTCGGTGTTGGTTCTGAGCATCCTGGAAGCCAGTGAGAAAAGGGGAATGCAATTTCACACATGTCCACTGTGGCCCGGAACACACCCAGATGCAGAGACTCTGCTATGGCTGCTTTGAAAGCAGGAAGAAGCTCAGGCCCCGACCTCACCCGGAAGCCCCCTCTCCTTGGCATCAACTCTTCCCTCCGGCTGGCCCAGCACCCTCTGCTCCAGCACCCCACACCCACCCCAGGGCAGGAGTCTTCAGCATCGTCAGGGTGGGTGGTTCTTTTTACATTTCACCACTAGGGGTCAGGGCTGCGCAGGCCCTGATCCCCAGCACACAAGAGAGAAACAGATGCCCGGGAGCCTGGGAGTTGCCAGGGCCTCAGTAAAGACGCCAGTACCATGGGGGAGGGGGTGCCAGTGAGGGGGAGGGGGCCTGAATGGGAGCTGGGGTAAGTGGAGGTAGGGTGTGTTGGGGTTCAGCCTGTCATCCAGAAGATCAGCTTGAGCTCGTGTCCAGCCTAAGCTAAAATCTGCCTCCCCTTCCCATCCTGACTCTCTCCTCCCTCTCCCTTCAGACCTGCTCCCCCTCACTGGCTTACAGATAAAAGCACTTGCTACCAAGCCTGATGACCTCAGTTTGAACCCTGAGACCTATGCGTTGGAAGAAGAGAATCAACTTCAAAAGTTGCCCTTCGACCTCCACTTCTTGCATAAACACACACAAATAATAATAATAATACATTTTTAGATGAAATGATCATTTTTAAAAAGTTAGTCCCCAGCCAGGTGGTGGTAGTGCACGCCTTTAATCCCAGCACTCGGGAGGCAGAGCCAGGCAGATCTCTGTGAATTCCTGGCCAGCCTGGTCTACAGAGCGAGATCCAGGACAGGCACAAAAACTATGCAGAGAAACCCTGTCTTGAAAAACCAAAATAAATAAATAAATAAATAAATAAATAAATAAAAGTCCACCTGGCCGGCTCAAGGTGCCCAGCATACTCATGATGGGGAAGGGGTACTTGGAGAGAGTCGGGGGCCCAGGATTTGTGCTGCAGCTTCGCTGGGTCCTCTGTGTGGGTTTGAGCACACCAGTGTGCTTTTGTTGGCCTCAATCTTCCCATCTGTGCAAGGGACAAGAGGACAGGGTGGCAAAGGATTGTGGTCTCTCTGGCTGAGACTGTGAGCTCAGGGCAGAAGGAGAGAGAGAGAGAGAGAGAGAGAGAGAGAGAGAGAGAGAGAGAGAGAGAGAGAGAGAGACAGATTCATTCTACAGTGTGCAAGGCTAGAGCTTCTCCCTAGGGGGCACAGATGTCTGTACCCCGCCTCTGCTGCGCCCCTGATGCCCCCCCTAATGTGTGGACCAAAACAGCCTCTGTTGGCAAGTTCAGGGAAGACTTGGAGCAGAGCCAGGGGTGGGCAGGAAAGGGAGGCACCGCCCACCTGTGGTTTCCCCATCCATTAATCTGGTAATTGTGGGCCCCGGAAGGAGGGTGGGCAGATTCCCCACCCACAGGCTGAGGAGCAGCAACACACGGTTCCTTCTTGGGGAAGACGGTTGACAGCAGCACAGGGGGTGGAGAGGAAGGCTGGCTTCCTCCTCCTCTTCCTCCTCCTCCTCCCCCTCCTCTTCCTCCTCCTCC